ATTGTAAAGTGCTACCAACATTTTTGTACAAATACATTACATATAAACAAATACATTTGGTTTTCATATATCAAAAAAAAAAAATTAATAAAACTAGTGATCCATCAACTGAAGTTGAAATCATGATGCAGCTTTTATATTGGGTGGTACATCCATCTCAAAACACATCCACTGCACTCATTTTGTTGGAAAATTGAGGCCTGTGAGGCAATATCTTACTGACAGACAGGGACACATGGATTTTTGCAGTCCACTGGGACAGAGCGATGAGAGTAAGAAAGAAACAAACAGACAACACAGAGAGAATTCAACAGATAGATGGACACGAGGGCAGAAGGATCGACCTGACATCCTGTCAAACCCTGAGTGAGGATCCCCGTTGACCCAGAGAAAGAAGAAGCACAGCCACTGGCACGCACACACACATTTCTAACACACCACCAGACTGCTAGCTCTGACCCCTCTAACACTTTCTTTCCACTCATCTCACTTCTATTTTTAGGCCATTATATTCCTGGCACTTGTACACTTCACCTATCAGTTTTCACTTGGTCAATTAACATTTAAAGGCATTAAAAGTGCACTCCCTTCCTCTAGCCTTTAATTCAACAATCTGATAAGCAAACATGCATATGCAATGCCGATTTCAGATTACAATCCTCAAAAACACATTTGAAGCACGTAGTAAAAGGTCATTGGCAGATTGGTAAACACATTCCGTGTGCGGCGTGTTTACTTTCAGGTTTTGTGGCCTTGAGGGCTCCTCAGAACTTGTTAGGTTAAAGTAAACTGTGGTGCAAATGGGCCGTTGCGAGATGGCTGTAGTTCTCCAACTGTGTTTCTTGGAGAGGCTGAACCATGCTGATTAAAGTTGATTGAACCCCATACAGCTCACACACAGATGCTCAAGCAGCATCCATCACATCATGTTTAAATCAGAACAAGTATGTTTATTAGTTTGCATGAGGCCGAGGTATACGTTTTGACCTGCTCTATCATCGTGAGAACATTGTGGTTACTCAGAGGGGAGCAGTTGTCCCGACGTCTCCTGCCACTGAACAAATGGGCAAAGCAGATGACCGGTCAACATAATGTAAGTGTACCTCTGATGTGTGACCATCTCTCTGCTAGATGATTCATTATGTCAACCTGCAGTCTCTTGAAGACTAGCAAAACAAGAGAAAAGCAAAGCTAAACAAAGCAGAGCTCTAATAAGTCATAGGGATCGTTGGGTGCCGTGTGAATGAAAAAGGAAAAGGAAAGCTCCGACGTGGGAATATAGACACCCACTGAGGGAGCTGGAGCCATCACAGAGAATTTCCTGATTGTACATCTAACCTTTCAGCACCTCCTCCTGTGGCTTGCACGCATAACCAGGGTTGCCAAGTCTGTGTGGAAAAAGCCCAATGATCAACACACAGCTTAAACCATATTTAGCTTTTCGGATCATTTATTATGTAGGCCTACTGCATATTATAGTCAGCAGGGCTTGATATTAACACCTGCCAACCGGCCAAATGAGGGTGGATTTTAGCCGTGGTGTTTAACGCAGTCATCCTAGCCACTTTGGCAGGTTGAATTTTATATATTATACAGTTTTCAATTGTAGTCATTTAAACTGGCATCTGAAGTAAATGCAATGTCACATCAAAAATAAACATTTTTTTATTCAAATTGGTACGGAAATATTGGAAATACTCTCAATAGTAATTTTCCACAGAATAAATACACGATACCAGCTGCACTTTCTCTCTCTCATCTCTTCGATAGCGAGATACACAAACACGCCTAATTTCATTTGATCAGGATGAATATTGTTGCTGTTACAGTGCTTGAATTTCAGCGTGGGATTGTGCGTATTTTACTCATTCTGGCAGATTTTGTGCTCACACTCAAAGTGCGCACACATAAAGCCACCTCTCAATACTAAATTGAGTTATTTGTCGCTGCTTATTGTGCTTAAATAGTCAAAAACATAGAACATATTGTCAAAATGCTGGTTTTTGAAAAAACATTGAGTTATGTTTTAAGTGAACATAAACAGTATATTGTAATAACTGTATATTGGATCTATTAAAAATATCTATATGGTATCGATGTCAAAATTGTGGGCGGTGAAAATGCTGAGTGACTAGTAACTTTGGAAAACCACGAGCAAAAAAGTATGCAAGCATGCAAAATGAGATATATATTGAGCAGGTTTTAAACAAATGCATTCTTCACTTTAGCTTAAATTCTGACAGACAGTTTCTATGTAAATTGAGTGTATTGTATTCATTAAACAGTTGGGACTGTGAATCAGAATTTCACTACAGCATGACAAATGCATAAGATCAACTGTCAGTCCATTATGTAAAGCATAAGAATGACATAAGTGAAATGAAGCACAACTGGGCATCATTATTGGACACAGTCCTTCATCATTGCACAGGTTATGAAAAGCACAGCACAATTAAACTAATAATATCAAATTAATTGCAAGTCTTATATAATAGCAATGGGATTCACAAGTCTAAGACCAGACTGCAATTTAAACCTGAAATGTTGATTTTTCAATTTTAACTCATATTGCTATTATACTATAATGATGCTTATCAATATAGAAGAATTATAACAATTGTTTCAAATCTGAGCTTCCTAATAACAGAAATAAACTCTGAAACAAAACAAATGAGCGAAAATGACCTTAAAAGTTCCCATTGGTCTTTTGGCTAAAGCTTCAAGGTATAATGGCTGGGAGAGATGTCTGGTGCTTAGATTAGCAAAGACGTTCTTTAACTTACACTGACTCACTGACAGAAGTGGTTTACAAAGGTTGTATATCATGGACAATTACGTTTTAGGCTAAAAAAAGTCAACCCATAAGTCCCTGAGTCTTTTTTTTTTTTCTCAGCCGTGCATTGACTCTAACTGCAATGACTCTGCAGTGTTTACGACATGAAATTCCTGCAGCTGAACTTATGAAGGATAATGGAGCACTTTATCAAAAAGATGAGTTTGGGAATATCACTGAACTTATCCATGTTTCATCTCTTTCTCATGGGAGCCACATTCAGCCCCTTTCTCATAATCACATCAGATTCAAAACAAAAATTATGAACAGAGAAAATAGTACTTAATAAAATGCAGAACGTTAACACAGGAATCATGAGAAAAAAAATGTGTTCCTCTGCTCTTAAAACATAAAAGTGAGGTAACAGTTCATAAAACACTTGAGCCTGAACAGAAAGACTCCCAAGAAGAACACAAGAAAAAGAATGTGCGACAAGAGTCAAAAAAATATATGTGAGAACAATTTTACAACATAGTTTACACTGCAGACATAAGTTTGCACAGACCTCATCATTCAAATCTATGAGGTAACTCAAGTGGAAGTATGGGACATATGCAGTGAACCCACCTAGGATTTTAAACCATATTAAGAGTTTTCATGCTGCCCAATTAATGGTTGCTTGTCCTTCATTATCTATTTTCAAAAAGAAATCAATAAAATAATGATAATTAAAAATATTTATAAACAATTACAAAAAATACTTCATTTTATTACAAATATATTTTAAAATCTTATCTCATAACAAAACAATTCCGTAAGTATATGTTCGGTTTGTTTTGTATGAAAACCATTTCAGTCTATAAGTCTGAATTCTTATTTTGGATGTATTGTAGTTTAGAAGGACAGTTAATACCAAAATGAAACATTCTGTCATCATAACGTCATTCTTAGGCCGTGTCTCCACCAAAGCGTTTTTCCACACGCCTGGCGTATGTTTTCAATTGTTTTCAATGGGAGTGCCGCGTTTTTTAAACGCCATGAGCGTACCGAGGCGCTGAGCGTTTTTTTCACGCTGAAGCGCCGAGCGCCCAGCGTTTGTTACTGGTCACTGGGAGTTGAAAAATGTTCAACTTTGGATAAAACACAGCGCTCATCACTGTCACTTTTTACCCAGCCGTCCAATCACAGTGGAGCAGGGGCGGGACTAATAACTAACCACACCGACCAACTGTCACAACATTCAACTGCTGCGGATATTCTGTATCATAGCAACGAAACGTCTCAACGGAAAAAACACTGCGCTGCCAAAGCGCTCTCAAGCGCCCAAAGCACGGCATCTTCAGCAGAGCGTATAGCGTTTTCATCTGGCTAAAAAAGCTTTGGTGGACAGGACACACGGCCTTAAACTTCCAAGAAGCATTCAGAATCCATAAAGGATAGACTGCCACATCATACCAGTGGTTTGTATGATTTGTGAACTGTTTCAACAGTCCACCAAAGGGTGGGTGAATACATAATGTATTGTATAGTGAATAACCGAAAACCAAGTTTCATTCAACCATGTGCTGATCAGACCTCTTTGAGATCGTAAAGCCTTTCTCTCTCCAGCCCAGGACTTCTGTCAAGTGTCCTCTTTGCTCATCGTGTCACCAATTATGTATTCTGCTGCCACTGAAGCACTCCTGGCAGAGTTATGCTACTGTCAAGGACATTCAGTCTGGCCCCTGTCACTTGTCAAGCTGCCAGTGCACCCGGTGACACTGCCCTTCACAGCACACTGTCTGCTGACCGGAGTGAATTAATACATAAACCAAAACCACCCATGACTGTTACACTCGGGTTATCATGGAAGAGAAAGACCTCTTGATCTCCTGCTTTGAATGCCCCGTCAAAACAAGGGGAAAACCCTCAACAAAAGGCCCAGTTAATTATATTAAGTTTACAGGTGTTTATATTAATGATTAACGGCACGGCCATTCAAACAATGCTGTGACGGAGGATATGGAAGGAATGGTTGCATTGACATTCCTGGCCATTTCCTCGACGCACGCTGTGCTACCTTAAGGGTCTTCGGCCGCCGGCATACTTTCCAGATTTTGCATCCTCTGTGTCCATACAGAGATTCCACAGGTCTGGATGGACAGCAGGTGTGCGGTCCAGGCGGACTTTCCAAGGATGTCAAGTCAACAGAAGACTCATTACTGTTCTTCCCTTACATCTAAAAACAAAGGCACTGGAATTCAGGAGGATGCATACTTACATGCCTGTGATTTTAAAGATAGGTTCCTCTGTGCTGGATCCTGACTGGTGTGCCAAGATATTGTGTATGTTCATTCAGAGGAAGTTTTTCATCTGCATCAACAGATAACTGTATTAGTCTAAGAGGCCTTTTATGGTGGTGTCCTTGAGAAACAGAGAAAAATAGAAAAGAACAATGTAGGTGAGAATGACAGAATAAATTACTGCTTTTCACACACTCTTTCTCTCTCTGTGTGTATAAACACACACTTATATATTTATATGCATATACAGTATTTCAATACTCAAGTTTTATGCCATATTTATGAATATATATATATATTCATATATATATATATATATATATATATATATTCATATATATATATAAATATATATATATATATATATATATATATATATATATTCATAAATAAAATATATATATATATATATATATATATATATATATATATATATACTGTATAATCATTCAATGAATAAAAAATAACCACATTTAAACACTTAAATATTTGCTGAAAAAAGACAACAAAAAACAGAAAGCAGAGGCAGTTTTAGAACATTTTAAATGATTGATTTTGTTTAATTTATAGTTCCATATCATATCTATCTGGGGTTCTGTGTGCTATGTTTTAATTGTGTGTCTCTGTACTCATCTAGATGGATGTCTTTGTCTGTTGTGTGTATATAAAGACTCCATGCTTTTGCTCTATTCTGATGTCCCCTGTCCAGCTGAATTTAAAATAAAAATAAAACAGCTAATCTGTTCTAGTTCTGTGAAGATGAAGGAACATTTGTGCACGGAAGTACTCCTGTGTGTTTAATCGCATTTAAAATATCACCATGGTGATTATGGGAGATGGGCTTAAAAGCAGAAATTACACATAATTGGTTCTTTCTCCGCACGAATGCTTTCTCAGAAGGCATATGACACTGGGCCAAACAAATAAGCCCACAGCATGCATAAATGGCTGTGATGACAGCAGAAAAGATTTCAGATTTACAATATATTTCTGTAAATGTATTGAATGGGTTGATTCTGAGTGGGAAACAGCAAACTCATTCAAGTCAAAGCTTTATGCCACAGGAGGTAAACACCACATGTACAGTGTTCTTTTTACTGTTAACCAAAAAAAGAATTATTAATGGAGCACCTATGTGTTTTTTGGCCAAAAGTTTGAAAAAGTTTTGCTGGTAGACAGAGTAAACTCCAGGAAAACAGCATGGTTTCAATGTCGGACTTTGGACGTGAAGGTGCTGATTAACAATAACAAACACTCCAGCGGGCAGCCAACTTTTCACTCAGTCCAAAAGGAACTGACATTTTGGAGTTTGATGCATTGTAAAGAGAGAAAAGATTTTATTAACTGCTCGGTTTATGCTGATAAATTCACAATAGATAGTGAGATGTGTCTATAAACAAAACACGTTGTCTCTATAATTTATAATAGGCTTCAAAATATTAATACAGTTATAAATGAACATAAATATTTAAATTATATACACTACTGTTCAAACGTTTGTGGTCAGTAAGATTTTTTTTTTTAATGAAAAGTTATTTTTTAACTTTCTATTGATCAAAAAATCCTGGAAAAAAACGTATTATGGTTGCCATAATAAAATTGTGGAAACCTTGATCACCAAATCAGTATATTAGAAGGATTTCTGAAGGATCATGAAAATGTATATTCCCTCCCCTCCCCCCAAATAATCCATGTCTATGAGATTAATTAGCAATATTTGTGTGTCTGCTGCGTTGTTACCATCATGTTATGGGAAAAGACCTGTTCCTACAAAGACCAGCTTACTTTGTTGTCCAAAATGTCGACATGGTCACCTTAGGCACTGGTGAAGCCTCTGTCAAGTTGTCACAGTGTTTCATCAGACTGTGTTGACTGATGAGCCCATTACTGTAGAGCACCATGTCATCTGCAGCTGGACCAGTGCTTGTTCTGTCATAGGATGTCACCTAATTGTTTACATTAGCGGAAACAAATACATTTGCAAAACAAACAAACAGAAATACCTCACAACTTCCTGACGATAAGAAAAGAAGCTGGCCTGCTCGTCAAGTGCAGATGGCGGTGGTCAGTCCGGTTCCTGTGGGACCGGCATCTTCCTGAGGTTTTGACATGGGGATCTAACTTTGTGGGCCGGCAACTGGTGCATACATTCATACATCAAGAGGAGCAGCTGTTCATTTTTTTTAATATGCACTGTCGATGCAGCAGAGCGCTGTAGTTGAGGGATGTGGTCTCAGACAAGAGCTGCAACAACAAATATAGGGCAGAAATGAAGGTTTACCATCATCATGTTATATGAGCCACATTAGTGGGGCCTCTATAAGCACATACACATGCACTCACATACACAAAACAAACTGCTTTACAGCCAATAGAATATGCGTGACTTCAGGGAGGAAAACTACAAGTTGGTATGGTGGTACTTATGTTTAAAATAAGTATATACATTGGGTCAGTTAACTGCAAAACTGAAATGGGATGTATTGTTTTATGAGGGAAGGCATACCGCATTGGTTACACACTCATGCTAATCAATGACAGGTGTGTCCAGCCCAGAGAGGTGTTAACACAGGGGCCCATGCAGTCTAGCCTTAGGGGAGGTCTACGTTTAGGTCAAACACACACACACATTAGGTATCCATGTTTTATGGGGACATTCCAAAGACACAATTTTTTTTTTACTGTTAACCAATCACAGAAACATTTCTATTTTAGATTTTTCAAAGACAAATCTGTATGATTTACACGATTGTTTCCTCACAGGGACCAAAGAAATCTTCCACAAGGTCAAACTTTACTGGTATTTCTATACTTGTAGGCTACAAGACATGATAGAAATACCAGTATACACACACAAATAAACATTTCTTATTATCAACAATATTGAAAACATTTGTGCTGCTTAATTTCTTTTTTTCCAGGTTTTGATAAAAAGAAAGTTCAAAGCAACAGCATTTATTTGTAACCGAAATCTATTCATTTCGAAAATGCGCAGTTTAGGAACGAGTCGTAGATTCTAAAATAACTTAATGTTTAGTAGACAAAAATTATAAATAGTTTGAGATATCTATTGAGATAATAGTTTGAAATAAATAGTCCCCTACATCATGGACAGAGACAGATGTTCTGCTTTCGTGAGTTAGAGTGAAAAGATGTTCAGACAGGAGGTCATCCAAAAGGGCGCCCAAAACAGAACAGAATACTTTCTCCTTTACAGATCATTAGTGTATGGTGTGTTTAGAACGACAAACTTCCTCTTGTCTGGTAGGGCCATTGGTTCCAGAGTAGGTTAACTCTAGACATGCAGTAAATCACAGAGGTCTGGTCCGCAGGTATTTATCAGACAGGACAGCGCTCACTCGGTGCGTGTGCGTCAGACGGCCTCACGGGACTGCTTGTGAGAATGCTAAGGGCTGGTTGCCGCAGGGTTGATACAGAACGCAGCACGCCATCAAAGGTCCACTGAAATGGAGCCATAAAAAATTTACCAACCTGCAATAAATTTTTCACTCCGAGAAAACTTGAAGTGGTCCAGTGAGTAACAGGGCAGGAAAAGAGGTTGAGACGGGGGCATTCGACATCCCAATGACTCACGGAGCACCAGACAAGTAAAGAAAAACCGCACATGAACCAAGCACTTAACCGGTGCCTTCAAGAGCATTTAGAAACTGTGCATGGAATTCTCAAACGTATGTTGCGTCAAACAAGATGTTCCCTGTATCGCTAGTCATTTTTCATTTCTTAACAACAAAAGAACAAAATATGGTAAACAGGGTTTCAGCAGGTATCTTCAAATTAAATTTAAAGGGTGGGTTCTGTATTTTTAAGCCCTGTTTTAACATCGTTTCTAATGAAATAGAACGGTTAAGATTGAAATTTGGACAAAGGCTGCTGTCCCGAGAATTTTAGGTTTCTGTGGTTCTGTGGTTGGGCTTTAAGTGGCTTTAAGAGTATATATATATATATATATATATATTTTATTTTTTTATTTTTTTATTTTTTCTGAAACACATAGGTGTAATTTGCGGGTAGAACATTTCAATTGTGTCCCCACCATTTTTTGAACATCTCGCGGCAAATAGGATGGATCACAGGAAGGGTGGTGTTTCATTAGTAATATTATTATTAGTGTTTTTGTTGTTATTAATAATTGCTCAAACTTGCAAGAGAAGATTTGACACATGGCACTGACAATTCAACCAAATACAAAGTATTTATTCTCTTCCCCTTCTACCTGCACCGTCTCCTCCTCTAATGGCCCTACACTTTTCACCACCTTCCCTAGGCTGACATCCTCTAACCTGGCCTTTTTAGGGGGCTTTGCTCTCAGGGCGAATGAGAGGATCCATAATTGCTTTTTACCTGACATCAATGATTAATGCATCCATGGCTCGGATATAATCATAAAATATGATATGATTTTAAAAGTGACCTATAACATCGACTATGCAATACACTTTAATTTATTTAGCACTTATATATTTTTTAAGCCTACTTGGAGAGAGAGATGTTTATGATGTGACAGTTTGTCAGTCCTCGTGTGATAACGAAAATATGAATAGGCCTGCCCTAAACTACTTTTCTGAGCAGGTGTTGTCAGTGAACAGGTTGTAAAACTATTGGTTAAGTTATAGACACTCCTAAAAAACTGATGCTAATTATCTAGGAAATGTTCTCTAACAGCAGTCAAGTTGTCATTGTTTGTGTCAAACAAGTTGTGAATTTTTTGAAACATTAAAACAGGAGATCATGACTTATCTCGAATCTTACCCAGACACAATAGTGCCATTTCTAATTGGCGAATGTGTAGCCCCTTTCTTTTTTTTTCTTTTTTTGATTGGCTGATAAATCGCAGGCTCAACTAGCAACATACATTCGCCTAAAGGATTATTAGGAACACCTGTTCAATTTCTCATTAATGCAATTATGTAATCAACCAATCACATGGCAGTTGCTTCAATGCATTTAGGGGTGTGGTCCTGGTCAAGACAATCTCCTGAACTCCAAACTGAATGTCAGCGTGAGCGTGGCATGGTTGTTGGTGCCAGACGGGACGGTCTGAGTATTTCACAATCTGCTCAGTTACTTGGATTTTCACACACAACCATTTCTAGGGTTTACAAAGAATGGTGTGAAAAAGGAAAAACATCCAGTATACGGCATTCATGTGGGCGAAAATGCCTTGTTGATGGTAAAGGTCAGAGGAGAATGGGCCAACTGATTCAAGCTGATAGAAGAGCAACTTTGACTGAAATAACCACTCGTTACAACCGAGGTATGCAGCAAAGCATTTGTGAAGCCACAACATTTAGGCGGATGGGCTACAACAGCAGAAGACCCCACCGGGTACCACTACAAATAGGAAAAAGTGGCTACAATTTGCAAGAGCTCACAAAAATTGGACAGCTGAAGACTGGAAAAATGTTGCCTGGTCTGATGAGTCTCAATTTCTGTTGAGACATTCAAATGGTAGAGTCAGAATTTGGCGTAAACAGAATGCGAACATGGATCCATCATGCCTTGTTACCACTGTGCAGGTTGGTGGTGGTGGTGTAATGGGGGGTGTTTTCTTGGCACACTTTAGGCTCCTAAGTGCCAATTGGGCAAATTTGCCACGGCCACGTAATGCCACGGCCTACCTTAGCAGTGACCATGTCCATCTCTTTATGGCCACCATGTACCCTATCCTCTGATGGCTACTTCCAGCAGGATAATGCACCATGTCACAAAGCTCGAATCAGTTCAAATTAGTTTCTTGAACACAACAATGAGTTCACTGTACTAAAATGGCCTCCACAGTCACCAGATCTCAACCCAATGGAGCATATTTGGGATGTGGTGGAACGGGAGCTTCACGCCCTGGATGTGCATCCCACAAATCTCCATCAACTGCAAAATGCTATCCTATCAATATGGGCCAACATTTCTAAAGAATGATTTCAGCATCTTGTTTAGTCAATGCCACAAGAATTAAGGCAGTTCTGAAGGCGAAAGGGGGTCAAACACATTATTAGTATGGTGTTCCTAATAATCCTTTAGGTGAGTGTTTATTAATATACATTCATCTTTCCAGAGGTGAAGTATCACTTTAAGGACTTTTAATGTTTTTAATGCCCAGCGGAAACCCTGGTAAAGAGGTTAAATGCAATGTTAGACCATGATTAAACCTGCAGGAATAAAGCACTCCACAAAGTTTTAGTCATGGGAATCTTAAATTACGTGGATTCTGTTCATATTTGTGTGGTTGTAACTCTTGCCTTTAGGATGAGTCCCTCACTTAAACATAAGGGCTGAAATTTATATGGGACTTTTTTTTTCGGTACAGACAGTCAATTAAATTGCACTGTACACATACAGCGCCAATGTGTTGCAACATTTCCAAACACAAGATTTGGCACATCATGAGAGGAGTATTCATGACAAACAAAAAGCAAGACCTTGCTGAACCTTTCTCAGTGCCTGGGCACCTGTTTTCTGTAAATAGCTCTGAACATCTGCACTTCACCCAACGCCAGTATAATCCATCTACCTCTTCCTGGTTAAATCTCTGTCTCCAGGGAACTTTGAGTCCCATCACAATCCCAAGGATCCTCTTCCATGGATTACTCCCATCCTGCGCAGTGGCTTTTGGGTGCCAGCGAGCCGTGGCTGTGGTCACAGATGGGAGCATAGCCCTGTGATAGCTTCCATATGTCACAGTGCGCTTCTGAGGGCGCCTTTTTATTTTTTACTTTTCACATTTCTCTCTGGTTTTCTCATCAAATGTTTCGTTCAAAGTGTAATAGGTGAACATACCCACAGACAAATGTAATCTGAGCACAAAAATGGCAATTTAAAGGAACAGTTCACCCATAAAATATTAAAGTTATATGGGTTTGAAATTACATTTTTGAGTAAATTATTCCTTTAATCATCCCAGTGGAGAGATGTACCTTAGATTTGTTAGTTGAGTTATGCCCTTTATGAACCTATTACAATAAATTTTCTGGCCTTGCCATGGATGCTGAAAGCAAAGATATGATGATCTGGTTCTCCAGAAGGGCCATGCTGTGCCTCGCAGGTCTTGCAAACATGAATAATCTGTTTAGCATAATTTATCTGTCATAGACGTTAGGCTGTTTAAGTCACCCCTGGGGGCCAGTGACGCAGATCTGTATAGGTCTATGGTAAATAAGAACTGAGAGGAAACAAAAAAATATCCTTTTGACACCTCGAGCCTGGGAGGTTCGCTCATCTGCGCTGACACATATGGTCAGTAATATCCCCCCTCTGATTATAATCCTTGAAGTCAACCTCATTAACCAGACATCCGCATTGAACCCTGACTGGAAAGGGGCAGAAAGTTTGCCTGTCAATCAACACCAACTTGCTTGAAAAATGTATGTAGAGAAAATGATCCAGGAGCCCCAGACTTGAGACCAGCTGCAATTTCTCACCTAAAAAGTCTGGCCCTTGGTCAGACTGAGACAGACATTTGCAAAAAGTGGCATGTATATTAATCATTTCCAAAAGTAAGGCTGTCAATTTAACATGTTAAACATGAATAAATACTCACTTATTCATAAAAAAATAATAATTTATATTTTAATATTTACAAAATGTAATACAAGTAAACTAATTAAAAGAAATCACAAATGATCTACTTTAGAAAATAAAAAATAAATAAATTATAATTTCTAAAATTTACATTTAGCAAATTATCTTAAATAAATCTAAACAAAAATGTATTATGATTTATAATTATTTTTAATTAATAGTGCTATTTAAAAAGGTATTTTCAAATATTTTTTTAAAAACACACAAAATAATTATTATACTGTGATTGTAATTTTTCCATGATCAATTAATCATGCCCCCTCAACATACATTTTGAGAAATTTCTACCATTGGAGCAGGGCCAATGGCCAAATATTTTATCCTTTAACAATGTTTTAAATAAAGTGCTTATGGCAAAAAACACTGAAAAACAAAAAGACATAATTCATTTGAATGAATAGGCATTTAAAGTAATTAATTAAATTACAGATAAACTGTTTAATCAATTTACAGTCCTATTCAAAAGATATTGCAATGTAGATCTCTCCAACAGCACATGATCCAAATCAAAGAACCCATCAGAGAGATGCTGACTTAAGAGTAATCTCAAATATGCAAGCTCACACTTACATCATGGCTGCTGCTGTAAAGTGATGTCAACTAAATCGTCAACTACATACAGCATCTAAACCTGTGAGGCAGGTCTAATACGCTAACACATGCTCAGTCATGAAGACATAGCCACCCAGTTCATGGAAGGTTTTTGATAGTCAGCTTCCCACGCAAGATCATCTGTATGGAACATGAAATGCTTTCCGGAACACACTAGCAGTCTCCTGAAGGCAAACAGCAACATACAAAGTGATGGTGCATGGCTCAGGGGAGACCTCAGGCTAAAGACCCTGTGCCTGACAAAGTGATTTATGACACCTCCTCCCCCCCTCATCTCTACAGATCCAAGAGAAACTTTGGTGAGCTTGTATTGAGGCTGCGTTAAGGGACCCCATTGACTCTCATAATATTTTTCTGATGTTTGCAAGTTATGTGCTAATATTATATACACACTCCTGAGGAACTGACAACAGCAGAGTTCTACATAGCCAAGCAATCCTGTGTCCAATCATCAGAGAGAAAGGCATGCTGACAGGAAATTAAGAGCAGATCTAGCAAATATGACCTTGCCCATCACACATCTTCACTATATTTCCAAAATTGTATTCTGTAACATAAGAGATCCAAACTCCTAAATTTTCATGCAATGTTTTTGACATTTTAAAGAAGTTTCTGAAGAAACCAGAGTAGTCCAACCAGTAACCAGAATAATAACCCTGACTTTTTTTTCTTCTGTGGAACATTAACTATAATATTTTGGGTCCCACTTTATATTAGGTGCCTTTAAATACTATGTACTGACATTTAAATTAATAATTTGATACAATGCAATAATTGTGTACATACATGTTTTTACAATGTACTTAGAACTTTTAAAAATACCTACAGCTCTAATTAATCTCTGTCATTACATCTATAATTACTTGTTAAAACGCTGTGTGTTTTCCAATACAACATTAACACAATAACTACATTGTATTTGTTGTTTTATGTAAGTACATAGTAATTAAGGACACCTAATATAAAAATTTTGAGAAATGTGTCAATGCTTCTGTTCATCTAATGAAAGTCAATGGTCACCAAAACTGTCTGGTTCCCAACATTTATCATTTGTGTTTCGGCAGAAGAAAGTCATACAGGTTTGGAATGATATAATGAGTAATTTTGATTAAAAGTGATTACAGAACATTTTTACATGGCAGGCTACATCCTGGGGATATTTTCAAATAAAGTTTTTATGTCAAAACCACAGTAGTACATTAAGGGCAGTTCCTTTTTTTCTGACATCAAACACAACAAAACCAAAGATTTGCACCAACCACAACAAAACAAACCAGCGTTCCACCATTGCTGTGAAATCCCCGTGCATGGCGAACATTGTATCCCTATTCCAAAATCTTAAGGCACTTCTGAACCAACTTGAGCTAAATAATGACACGATTGCCTTCTGTAGAGCTGCTTTACATCAGCTAAACATAAATGTTGCAACATTACCACTGTTATTTTCTTATTTATTATAGTGAAGCTGCTTTGAAAAACTCTGTAATGTACAGAGTATGTAGATTTGCACATCCCTGCTCCAACTAGGGGGCAGTGGTGATAATCTATAGAGAATGATGGTGCATGCAACCACATTCCCAGGTGGACGCCCTTTCGTACTGCTGGACTTCTGCCTGAGCGACAGATGGCAGGCAAATGCGGAGGAACCCGCCCCGAGCATTAACTTTGCTGGCTAGTGTTAGCCTGCGACAGTGCCTGCTATCTGTCTGTCTGTATCTCTAGCGAAATAACCCCATTATCCTCAGAGCCATCATGAGATTAAGAAGGGTATGTCAGAGAAACCGACGGGACAGCTGAGTCTCATTATCCAACATATGCTGTGATGTTTCAACAAGGCTTTGGTTTGTATCTGGATAGCTACACAAAACGTGTTAAGTGAATGAAGGTTGAAGTTGAACCGGGCCTCACCTTTAAGGCCAGGACGAGGCCGTTTCAGATGAATGGCACGCAGCATGTTCACACCAATCAGATTTAGGCAATTAGCCATCTAAGACGGACCAATGGTCAGGACTCATTTGCTCTTCCCAGCTAGATTAAACGGGGCACATACTCAAACAGATTTAAGCAGTAATCCTCTCTCGAACTAATACAACACAACATCTAAGAAGATCTGTTCTTCAATGCATCAAGTTCAGTACTAGAAGTGGCCTAAAATAGCATACAAACAGAATTTTTCCTAAAAGGAAGAAAATTCTCCAGCAAGCAAATTCTTTATTAGTTTCTTCTGAGATATTTTGCCACTGGTTAATCTTTTAAGAGTCAGTGTTCTTCCATTCATAGAGGGTTGTCTGAGAGGATGAAGGCATTTTAATATAAGCATGTTTCATACCCCCTGCTGACATGTCTAATCTGGTCGGGAGGAAATTATTTGATCTTTTGCAGGCATGGGGCATCTCAGAATCTAATAGACTGAATCACAAAGACCAACGCTCACCAGCCAGTTTGGTTTTTCATGTAGACATATGAGGAGATCCCCGTTGAGCTTTGGAGCTTGTGGAGCAGCGTTTTGGGCTTCTCACTCTCTGATCTTCTGAAACAGTCATCACATCTGTCTTCTCTGTGATGTCTGCCAGGGTAAAAGGACAAAATATCACATATCTTCAGGCTGTTTTGGAGGAAGGAGAAAAGAGAAGGTCAGCGAAAGAATTACATGAATCAAAGTGTACAAGGAAACATTTTTAATTTATCTTGTATATTTATTTATTTATTTTTGAGTGAAAAAAAATGATTCAAACCTTGTTTTAACCCATTGAAAAAAATGTATTAAGTAGTAAAATTCAATATATTATTTCTAGATACTTTTTTTGTTGCTGTTTTAAATATAGAGTTTGATAAATATGTAAAATGTAGAGTTTGATTTGAATATGTATGTACATAAAAGCCATTTATACATAACATGAAATATTTAATTAGATTCCCCCGGGGGGCTAGTCCCAGACTAAAATGCATATTTGCGTGGTTATAACTTATCTTAAAATATATACCAGTGTGCCCTTGTTTTGTCTCAATATGCACAGTAATGTTTTTTTCTAAGGCACTTTATAAAAGCTACTTAAATGCCCTAAGTAAACTAAGGCCTAATCCTGGCTCAATCTAAGACCTGTTTGTGAAACCAGGCCTATATTGCATTACTCTACACCTGAGTGACATTAAAGAAATACCTCACTGCACGGCAATGTAATTCGGTGAGGAAAAACATTTCAAAGGTGACATTAGCTTGACCTCAGTTGACTTTGATTTGCAAATCTGTCTTATACATTATGCTTATGATCTTTGACATGTTCCATAGGTTTAATCAGTGTTTTGGCATTGGGTTGTAATATTGCACACCTCTCTGCACCTGGTCACAAACGCCTGTGATTGAATGCCATGTGTTTTAAACATTCTTTAGATTCTGTTTGAAGTGATCACCCACATCACTGAGGCCTGGCCTCTTGCAGTTGGGGTGCTGATGGCTTTTGGCTCAAGTTCTAGTACCTGTGTGTTTTCACTCTCTCTACTGGCCACAGACACCAGGAAGCACATTCACTGCTTGGCAGACATCCAGCTCTCCCCGATCCAGTGAGAGAGAGACTGCTACATCTGCACCAGATGTGCGTCTCTGCAGCAATCTGATTGTGGGGTTTAGACTGACAAGTGCTTCAAAGAGGCCGGAAGTCCCAACCCGATCTCACGACCAAGTCGTACGAATTTGACGAATGATTAAAAAGTGGCTAATTCGTAACAATTCATACGAGCTCGCTCGTACGAATTAATACGATTTTGCTAAATCGTACATATTTTACGAATTGGCCAATTCGTATGAATTCGTACGAATGACCTACCCCTTACCCCGCCCCTAAACCTAACCATCACGTGGGTTTACACAAATCGTACGAATTAGTACGAATTAGACACTTTTTAATCATGCGTCAAATTTGTACGAATTGGTCGTGAGATAGTGTTGGAAGTCCTGAATCCTTGTACTGTAAGAATCTTGCATTCTCCTAGTGTAGGTAAGTAACTGCTGGCCATCAATGGGCTAACATGCCACTGCTAGTCACTACAGCATTTTACCCCAAATCCACCCATCCATCCAGACGGAGGAGTGCTGTGGGTTCACAGAATCAGCCATGTGTAGCCGCCGCCTTCAAGTTTCCACAACTGACAATAGGCGTTTCTCAATGTCAAGGAAGGATCCTCGGAAGCCGGAATTTCGAGGATGCTACGTCATCGACGTCCGTCGAAGGACTGTTCCAATGTCGAGGAACCTCAGAATTTCAACCAAGGACTGAGTCCTTCGTTCGGAAAATATCCCATACACAGGAAAGGATGCATATGTGTAGCCTTCGCGCTCTTAATTAAATCACCCACAATCCTATGCGCAGCTTTGCTATCTTGTTCAAAAAATAAAAAAATGACGACCGTTAGCGGAGTCGGAGTGATAACGGCAATATGCTTTCAAATGTAAGCAAGTATAATTTAGCCATTTATTTAATGTTTGTTAAACTATTTGCATATCGGCTCAAATTTGCTTAGGGGATTTAAAGCTGTTCCCTTTTACTGGTGAATAACTTTTTAATTTTTACTTCATAGCCTTTTTTGTTGGTCACATATTTTACAATTGCATGTGTTTTAACAGCTAACTTAGATCATGTTGCTATGGAGGTAGTTCTGTTAACTCCGGTAATATAATCGTTTTTGAATGAATAAACTCCTTTTTAAATCAATATTTTGTGTCAAATTATTGATTTATTTGGTAGCCATGTTATAAGTGGGAAAATGTATAGCGAGGCGGTTGTTACAGCGAATACAACCGGCTGATCAAGACCCCTCTGCTTTAGAGTTTGCGGGGTTGTATTCACTATAACAACCGCCTGGTTATACAGTCATTATCCCTTTATTTATTTATTTCTATGAGGACTGACAAGACAAAATAAGGACTGTCAAGTGTATTTAAACAGTGCAGTGCAGTACACCAGCACAATGATTTTTGCAGCGCCGAAGCGGACCTTTCACTGATGTAATGACGCAATGACGTGCACTTGCTAGCCTGTTCCATTTACATGTTCTCCGAACGCTAAAGAGGACCCTTGCCTATAGCCTCTGAAGGAAATGACTTGGAAGGACCCGTCCTGCCAAGGAAGTATCCTTGACATTGAGAAACACCTAGTGAAAGATGCAGTAAAAACCAATCTGCTAGGATTAAGTCAGCTAGGATTCTTGTGTGTTGTAAGAGGACATTGAAAAAGAAACACCACATATTCTGGCCTATAGTCATCTAGAGGTAAATAGTGCTCTCATGTCTCAGCATGGGCACTGGGGAAAATTAAAAACTGTGGAAGTGTTAAAAATAGAAAAACTGTATCCTGAATAGCTATGACACGTTGACTATAAATAGCTAGATGTGCTGTTTTAGTTGAGACTGCATTAAAATAAGTGGTATTCTCAAACTAGTCAGCCTTAAATGCCTATATGTAAAGTGGATGAGTCCAAATATAATCACAAAAGGATAAAACATTGAATTTTGAACAAATTTGAAAGAGATAAACCAGATTATGGAAAACTATTTGATTTGGAGTACAGGTTTTCGGCTTAATTTAAAACTAATAAAAGGTGAAACTCTTGCAAACTTATATATTATATATATATATATATATATATATATATATATATTACCGTGATTACTCTTTGATAACAGTCTTCAGTGTCATATGATCATTCAGAAATTATATGCTGGTTTGCTACACAAGGACAATTTCGTATTATTATTACTGTTTAAATCAGTTATGCTACTTTATATATATATATATACACACATATATATATTATAACTTAAAAAAACAAAACAAACAAACAATGAAATCTTAATGTGAACAGTACTGAACAGTAGTGAATAGTCCTTGTAAATACTTTTTTCTTCTTTACAGTTAGAATTGAACACATGAGCTTCTACATGTCTACATATCTGTGAACAAGCCCATTCTGGCCACACTGGTGCATGCAAAGTTTTGCTGTGAAGATATAATAACCTACTGCCACAATGAACCCTCCCTAATCATCTTTAAAAAACACACAATTGCACACCGATGATGAAGTGTGCTGCCCTAAATTAGAAAATATGTAGGACATTATTGTCTGCATTTTCACAGACCTGTCTCTACATAGGAAAAAGACTCAGTTGGGGACGTTTAGTCAACAGTTGATAATGTGAGCCATAAATCAGTCATACGCAGGATTATGAAATGAATCCTATGGTGCAGACGCCTGGCCTATAGCCAACAATGTGAACAAAAGGTTACCTCTCCACTTCTAACCAGAAACGTTTCACTTGGAGAAACTCTTGCGACTGGTCCCCTTTAGTATCCTGTCGTTCCTCTGTTTCCAAATTTTAAACCATCCTTCTCCAAATGATTTTTACGTTTTTCTTGCTCTCTCTCTGCCTCCCTCCACCTTTTTCTAATTTGCTGGCCACAGTTAGAAATCAGCCGACTGGGACACGCCAGTAATTGAAGTCTCCACAGTGACTGCCTTCAGCACAGCTTTTAGTGATTCACGGGGGAGGTTTCCTGGGGGAAACTCAATAAGCTGCTCAGCATTAACTATAGTCATCATCAGACTTTTTCCACCACAGGATGTAGAACAACACTTGTTGACAGCATCTCAAAATAGCACCAGGAAGCGTGACCTATGACAAACTGATAATACCAATACAGGATTCAAGGAGCATGTGGATAAATCATTCAGGAGCAGAGATGCTCACAGAACATCACTCAGATTAATAAAAGTCAGTGTTTGAATTCAGAGAAGGTGGATGAGTTGTATTATGATGGTGATATGATCTTAATATGCATGAGACGACTTGACTGGAGTATTCATCATATGAAAATTGTACTATTACTATAAGTACTATTCATTTCTTTCTGTGAAACTATTTTTATAGCGAGAATTAAATTAATTTTACCTTTCTTAATAAGAAACGGTTCCTAAATGGAGGACTATGCTGGTCAAATGTCCAGCATAACTAGTGTTGCCCAATTCCTGATTGAATGCTTGTATCTGAATATGCCTGCTTCCACAATATATACTAGGCAAAAACTAGACAACATGAGATGAGTATATGTCAGAAATCATAGTATTCATAAAACAGTAGATGAAAACTACCTACTTTCGTAGGATGATCTACTACCATCAAGTTTCTGAAGTGTGCATCCACTGGAGACTTTACTCTCCCATGAGGCCACAGGGGAGGATTTGTGAATGACAGTGAAGCAACACGACTGACACCATAGGTCACATGACAACATAGTGGATGTAGCTATGTTGTCTGATACTACAGACATTCATCATACTATATATTATAGAACATCATTTTTTTATGCTCGGAGGTTTCAAACTAAATTTAGGACAGACTATATAGTATGTGATTTTGGACACTGAAAATGGGCCTTAAATAAACTAAAATAATAAAATGTTTACATCAAAAATGAACCATCACTGACCTTACTCAAGCTGTGACGGTATTTTCTTCTAGAAACAAACTCTGTTGCGCTATTTTCCTGTTATCTCTGTAAAGCTGCTTTGAAACAATCTGTATTGTAAAAAACGCTATATAATTAAAGGTCACTTGACCTTATTCACAGCACGTGCCATAGATTTTTAAGGGGAATGATTGAAAGAGAGGCTGTGAGGGATAGACATATCTTCAGTGGGTTTTACTGTTATTTAATGTGTTTTTGGATTGTTCTGCTGACAAAACACTTGCAAGACATTTCAGCAGACAAAAAAACTCTAGACAACATGAGCTGAGGAAAATTATAAGCTTCATATAGCTTTTATATATTTTACATTGAAAACACGGCAAATCTGTCCCCGACAGCCTTGCTTTCATACATTTCATGAGTCTTAAATCAGCACTGGCTGTTTATATGACAATGTTTAGTAGTATAAGAAAATATGTTTTCTTCAGTTGCTTAAAAAAAAGAAAAAAAAGAAAAGAAATTTGCTTATTATTTTTATATGCATATAAATTTTTTATTTCCTTTTCCTCCTTTTCCTTACACAAGCTTTAAAATAATCATTATTGCAACTGTTAAAGGCCTAGTTCACACAAAAATATCCCATAATTTTCTCACGCACAGGCCATTCAAGGTGTATATGATATTTCTTTCAACCAAACACAAATAACCCCCTGGATCTGATTGGATTATTTTTATGATGAATGGATGCGCTTTTTGGGCTTCAAAATCTCAGTTACTGTCCACTCCCATTTTAAAGCTTAGAAGAGCCAGTATATTTTTAATATAACTCCAATTGTTTGGTCCAGTTTGGCTGAAAGTAAGTCATAAACACCTGAAGGCTTGAGGGAGAATTATTTTTTTGTGTGTGAACTAACCCTTTAAGGAACTGGGATTGTTAAGAGAAATTGAGACTAACAGTACTACAAATCAGTATGTAATACGCTACACTGAAGAAATTGGTTTGCACAAGACCTCTTACACAACTTGTACACTACATGCACTCACATTTGAGAGTGAACCTGAACATAGACAGATCTCTTAAGTTCTCTTCAGCTTTGACTTGAGTTCTTCTGAAGTTTTAAATTACTAAAAAAGGGGAAAATTCACAGTTCAAAAGGTCTTCTCCCTTTTAGAAAGCATTCTAGACATATATATTGGACAAACTCTTGGCAGTTTTCAGATCCTAGGTGAGGTTAATGCACACAACTACAGAGCGAGCAGAAGGCAAAACAGATCTTTTCAGACATTGAGTATATTTGACCTTAAAATGGGGGTATGATGCATATTCTTTATGACATCCAGACTGCTCTGAATCGCATTTGGTTGTGACCATTCCCTGATTTGTGTGCAGCACCAGTGCACCTGGAACTGTGTTCTGGGACTGTGAGCGGCGCACAGTGAGCGTGTGATAAATGACTCCATGATCGTGCACATTTAAAAACCTCCTGAATCAGGTAAAAAATCTAAACCCCATGAGTGGAAGCAGGTTTATAATTCAGCAAGCTTCTAGAAACATCAACATGTTGAGCCTGTGTTAGCGAGCAAGGGCTTGATTATGTCTCAATTGGGCCGCGTGTGAAAATTGTATTCCATTATTGCAGCTGTCAGAATATTGCACTTCTGAATTTATCATGTTCTGGGTTCTGTGAAATATCTTTCACTTGGAACAAAAAAAAAAAAAAAAAATTGTATTTTGCCTTAAAAACACAGAATATCTTACCAGTGTGGTCTGTATGACGCAATCCTCAGTTTATAATCAACGCCTGGAAGGAAGCAGATGACATGTTGCCATTTGAGGAGCTGATGTGACTAATTAAAACAGGAAAAGTGATGACTCCTCTCATCCTCACGGAGTTATCAAGCTCGCTGTTGGCTTTGGCCTTGACATAGCAACTGCTCCTTCCTTCTGATAACTGCAAGAAAGAGGCTTTAGGAGAAAAAAAGGAAGGAAGGAAGGCCAAAGACACGATCACCTAGACTGTTGCGGTTTTAACTCATGATGCAATTTTGAATGAGCAAACAACAACAACAAAAAAACGCAGGATGTTTTGGATTTTTTTTAAAGGGATAATTCACCCAAACATTTACTTACCCCATGTCATCCAAAACATGTATGACTTTTTTTTCATCTGTGGAAGACAACAGAAGATATTTTGAAGAACATTGTGGTTCACTCAACATTGGACATTTTTTAAAATAAATAAATAAAACTTAGGCTTCAGGAACCAATTTACTTTTCCCAGAGCAGCAAGGATAACTTTACAGGCCAAAATGTGTATAACTCTTCAACTGTTTAAGAGTTTTCCCGTGGTCTATAATCTTTAATGAATCACAGTGTATTTACGCAAAAAGGTCAGGGATGTTCCTCTAAGCACTCCACAGCTCCAGAGCTGTATCAGGAGGCTTGACATTAATCCTGAGGGTAATGTGGGCCTTCCTGTGGCTAATGAAATCTGAAGCCTGAAAATGGCCGCACCTAATGACACTCCCTGACAGTTTTTGAATTAAACAGCCATGGCTGCTGGGATCAATCTAAATAGCACACAGATGGCCAACACTATTTTTCTATCCTTTTCTACCCCTAAGCACTTGCATATGGGATCTAATTTACTATCTCAGGAACATTGCTCTCAAAACAGCTATTCTGGATATAGTGCTTTTTTGCCTGTTTGTTTCGCTTGGCCGCCAAAGGTTCACAAATGATTGCTCGTCAAAATTAAAGGGATAGTTCAACCAATTATGAAACTGCTGTCATCATTTACTCACACTCATGTTATTCCAAACCTCCACGACTTTCATCTGTGGAACATAAAGATATTTTGAGAAATATTTTATTTAATTGAAGTCAATGGGTTCCAATGTTGTTTGCTTCCCAACATTCTTGAAAAAAAAAGTTATATATATATATATATATATATATATATATATATATTGGGTTACGCAGAAGAAATTAAGTCATATTTACAACAACGTGAGGGGTGAGTAAATGATGAGAGAATATTTGTTGGGTGGACTATCCCTCTAAGTTGCCATTCATATATTTTGTCACATCATTGAATGTGAATCATGAATTTTCTAATATATGTTTTATACAATTGTGTGCAAAAAATGAATAGCACAGACTCTGTCTATGCACAAACACATATATTAAGTATTACAACACACCGGCCTGTTTCTGAGTGATGGCGGCGATGATCCTCAGCTATAACTCTTGGAATATTCTGTCACTCAGCTCATCTGCACAATGGAGAAAAATATAATTAATCTTTTTCTAGTAAAAAGAACCAGTCTGAAATTAGACTTTTTCTTCAAAGTGTTCATGGAAAGGAAACAAAAAAAAATCATAAGGTTCAGGTGAAGAGGGAAAAATATAAATATTCATAAACCTTATAATTAACAGTTTGAAATTATATGTAGGTTTATTTACCCTGTTATGTGATGGTAATATATGAGGTGCAAAAGATACAGTAGATGTGCTGATACATGTAAATAATTTATCATCACCTATAAATGGATTCTCTCTAATTCAATTTACCAACTGTTAGCAATACTGGGAGTCTCTTGTCAAGATATTTCATATATTTGTGCCATCTCTAATCAACATCAGCTGAAAGTTTCCAAGTCCATTCTTGACATCTAAAACAAACAAGAAATTCTCATGTACGAAAAAATAAAAATCGCCCTGTGACCTTCCACTGAAGGGTACCTGAAGCACTCATCAAGGATCCCTTTGCTCCTATAATAGCTCACTATCTTGGGAATGTTTTTCACTAGAGTTGACAATGGCTTGAGGGATTTACTCACATTCAGACCCATGACCATCAGTGACAACCAGTGATATTGGGTGATGAGGCCTGGCTCAGAGTCAGTGGTCCAATTCATCCCAGAGGTGTTCACTAGAGTTCAGGGATGTTTTTTCTTTTTTTGTGAAACCCAGCCAAATTCTTCCTTACCAGACCTAGAAAACCATGGACCTCACATTGTGATGTCAAGTCAAGTTACGTTTATTTATAGAGCACTTTTCGAACAGCTTTACAGTAATAAACAGGAAATAACAGAATCAATGATGTAAACTTGAATAAATATATGACTAATTCAAATGCTGCTGTCAAGCCAATAGTTGTAACTATTCACCTCAAGTCAGCTCAATGTTGATTCAGTTTAATTCAATAACTGTGTAAAGTTTATCAATTACAAAACAAGCTCAATTTAGCTTTAGCAATTAAGCAGTTCTACATAAAACAATAGTGTCAATCCAATGTTAATTCAATTTAGTTTAATAACAGTGTTGGCTGAAAAAATAAATAAATTATGAAACAAATACAATTCAGCAATAATGCAGCCCAATAGAAGACAATAGTGTCATCATCCAGCATAATTCAGGAACCCAAACTCCAATAGGTGAGAAAAAAAAACTTGTCTAATCACTGAGAAGCTTTATATGACATATTTGCCACTCATTGCCAGGCTAAGATGATGATACTCTGATAGTGCCTGCCATTGGCTCAGACTGTTTTGGCAGCTCTTAATGTGATGATCCGAGTTGGGAATGTGCTCCTATTTTTGAGCCACTCAGCACTCACTACTGTCCTGCACTGGATAGTGTTGTGTGCTATGTAACGTCATGCTTCCCTCGCTCAGATGCTTCTGGGCCAGGTCTGGCTGTCAGTAGGGTTAGTGTCCAGGTCCACAATGCCTCAGAAAAGCTTAAGGACATATAATCAATCAGCTCATGGCTGACTGCCGAATTGATTCATCCAGTGCACATCCCTTACTTAAATTTGCCTGATTTTCTGTCCCTGAGCTCAAATCTTCTACTGCATTTGGGCTGAGACAGTTAGGAACAGCTCATTGATCCAAACTAAACCGAACACTGAAGTTCATTTGCAGACTACGAGTGGACAAACTGTGTGTTATGATCCGGTGAACCCATGGCGGAGTGCCACTTCTGCAATGTGCTGAATCAGAGGAGAACGGGTAATCTTGGCCTGAGGCGAAATGAGACATGACCTTTATGTCTGAAATTCAATGCAGGGAGATTATCAGCATGAACACCAACAGAATATGTTCACACACACATTGCATAAGAAATATTAACATATTCAGTTGGGTCACACCCTTGCATATGAGTGTCCATGTGTCTGTCATTAATCTGAAGGATTTTGGGCGTTCCCTTACAACAGTACTAAAAATCACAGTACAAAGGGCTCAGTGGGTGTGGGGGCCTGAATTCATAGTTTTGGTCCGAAATGTATAATCATGTTTAATGTGACCTCATTAAAATGGTGTCCCAAACTATACTAAAAAAATACTGCCCTCAAGGTCAAAATTAAATATTTAATGTCTTAATAAATGTCTTATTTAATTAGTGCATTTTATTGTAGAGGAAATGTAAATTTAATTCCAAAATCTTTTATAAAAATGTAGTAAAATTCTTTACATCTGAAATCACTTCTTGGTTGGGGAAATACAATACATGAACTATTTCTTGATTCCAGAGTTTATACATCAGAGTTAATAAGTTTGTGTCAGTTTAAAAGAATTTAAAACTTTTACTTAGCAAGGATCCATTAAGTTGATCAAAACTGATCCCTTTCAGAATCATCATTGGTATCCAATTCATTTTATATTTAAATGTGCAGTGACATAATTAAGCCATTCCCCTCTAAACTGCCTTCTCATCCTCATTAGTTACCTTTAACTTATAGCATTACATAATTAATCACGTAAACTGTAATGGTTTACATAATCATAATTGTGTAATTATTGTCTATTTAACATATAACTCATAAAGATAGTTTTTATGTCAATGAGTGCTGGCTACAATATCTATATCTATAAATAATGGTGTCTGATTTTATGTACCCACCAATGTAAAAAACAAACCTACACCCTTGATTGCTGATAATAAACAAATAAATAAATAAATGTCTCTTGAGCATCAAATTAGCATATTACTGAAGACTGAGTAATAGCTGCTGAAAATTAATCTTCGCCATCAATAAATAAATTACATTTTAATATATTGTGACACTGAAGACTGGAGTAATAGCTGCTGAAAATTAATCTTTGCCATCATTAAATAAATTACATATATATATAAGGTTAAATGTATGTGAAAAGCAATTTCATGCAGTTTTTTATGAGTGCACATCCTAAAAATGTTTCATATTCGATCCTTTAGGAGCCTGAAGTAACAGCTGTGAAAAGTACTCAAGATAGAAAATCACAGATAACAAAAAGTGTCTTAGCACACGACAGATGAAAGATTTCCCCATACTATTTTGAAATGCTGGTCAGTAGTCTTGAGTTGTGTGCTGACTTGTGTGAAATTGAAAAATTTGCAGGATGTGAAGCAAGCCATTATTTCTCCCCCTTCGACTCACAGGTATCACTCAAAAACAAAACAAGAACAATTCTTCAGACTATTGCATGAATTCAGCCTGAACCTGAGAAAAAAGAATAAAATTAAAAGTTTGGTGGATATACACACACACAAATGCATGTCAAAAGACAAGAGATTTAAACATATTCCTCTAGGTTTGAGCTATGCGGACTATACCGATTCCTCCACTGAAGGTCTAGTTGCTACGTAACAGAGAAGGGTCAGTGGCACTGTGAAGGGTGAATGGATTCCTGCAGAACGGTCCATTTATCAAGTGCTGCCAACATGCCAAACACACAAAGGACAACACATCCACCGCTAGATCCTGTTCCTTTTCAAGATTTCTTTCGAAACCCCTTTGCTCCTTTTATTTTAACCTTTATCTTTGTCCCTTATATATGACAAAAAGTTCACAAATACAACTCAAACTATTTCAAAATTCCATATGAGTTACTGTAGCTAAACATGGGAACGGGACACCAGGAATACATTAAAATTAAGATTATTTCAAATTTCCATGTTTCGTTAA